TCGAAAATAATGTTAATTTCGGATTAATTAAACTTAATTAAGTTGCTGCAAGAATCGTTAAAATTTTACAACTAATTAAGAAGTACTCATAAATACAATTGAACCTAATTTTTACACTGTAAAAATTATATTAGTATAAAATAAGGTACATACGAGGGCTGCTATGTATATTTCTGGCCTAATAATGAAAATGCGAATATTTATCGTCAAAAATTGTTTTATTGTCTTATTGTTTTTCAAAGTATTCTCCAGCCTGGTTTATACACTTTTGCATACGCTCAAACCAATTGTCGGAGTACTTTTTCCACTCCGATTGAGACACCTCCAAAACATGGTTTTTGAACGCTTCAACAGCATCTTCTGGCGGCGAAAATCGTTGAACACGCATTTTTTTCTTGATGTACACAAATCAAAAAAATTCATTGGGTGTCAAGTCAGGGCTGTACGACGGATGACCCATCATCATCCGTCGCTGGTTTGAGCCGATGTGTGAGAGCTCGCGTTGTCATGGTGAAAAATGATTAGTCTTCTCTTGTTCGTTTTTCGAATTTTTCCGAAGACTTCAGACAAACAAATTGTGGTGTATCACTCAGAAGTGATCGTCCTTCGTTGCTCAAGTGGAACAGTCGCCACATGACCAGTTTTGCCAAAGAAACAGGCAACCATTTGCTTCGAAGTGCTTCATCCACGAACAACTTTCATTAGATTTGGCTCGTCTTCGAAGACCCACACGGTCGATTGTTGTTTTGTTTCGGGCTCATACGCATAGATCCATGATTCGTCACCTGTGACGATCTTATATACGTCCTTTGAAGCACCGAACGTATTTTTTAGACATTTCTTTGCGCCAATAGACACGAGCCTTTTTTTGAGCGATTGTCCAATTGTGCGGGATCCAACGAGAACAAACCTTTTTCCAATGAAAGTGTCAGATTCAACCTGGCAACATTTAGTGTTGCCTATATATATATAGCAGCCCTCGTATCTAGTTGAGTGCACAATATTTTATATTGTGCTTTCGAAGGAAAACAAAGCTGTTTATGCACAGTTACTTTT